AATTGAGATGAGATAATTAAAATAAAATTGAGAAAATTAAAAGAGGGTAGGAGCTATGTAGAAAATTTAAAACAGTAGTAAGATATGGAATAGAACATAAAAATGAGCATGAAATTGAATTTGTGTCTGTATGAAGAAATGTAACCCAGGATTATGCTACTTTCAAAAAAGATGTTTTATTTGTATTTTTTTGTGAAAACTCAAATAAAATTTACAAAAAAACAAAACAAAACCCTACCACACTGTTAAAGACCTCATTTTAAAAGTTCAAAAGATCTCTCTTTTTGTAGGTCTGATCAGTTTGCCACAGAAAAATTGTAACAAAGCCTATATTTTAATTAAGCTAGGGTAGGAACTCTAATACCTTAATTCTATTATGTAGAGTAAGACATTAATCTGAGCACCTGAGGTAGTTTTAAATCTCATTACTCAAATGCAAATGAATATGAATTATCTCTTATGCTGCAAGTTTGGATGTCATAGTTTTCCTTTTGCTTAGAGCTGTCTTAATTATAGTTAATCTGTAGCAGTTGCTAGTTAAGGATTAGCAATAGGATTTGTATGGTCCTTATAAATCATAATTCAAAACCATATCAATATTATATGTCTCTCAGATATATTTCTTATTTCACAGTGTTTTTTAAATAATATGTAATAAATAATATGGCAATGCCCCATGCTACAAAAGAGGAAATTATTTAGAACATAGAGATTACTAAAATTACATATACTAAATTATTTGGTATAAATTAGTCATTTTATTTTTATTTTTACCCTTTTTTATTGACTTCTACCCTGGTTGTACAATATCTTTGCCCTGACTGTTCTTATCTGTCGAGCCAAGGAATCAGGACCATTCATAAGGTTGCAGCATAGAAGATTTATCCAAGTATGTGACTAGTCAACTAACAGCTAGCACTAAATTGGTGCTAGATAAAAGTCAGTGGAATTCAAGGGAAGCTGGACCTTGACCTCTTGTGGCAATGCAAGGACTCTAATGACATGGTTAATTAGAGTTGTGGTGGCGCAGTGGTTAGAATGCAGTATTGCAGGCTAATTATGCTAACTGCCAGCAGTTCGATTCTCACCAGCTGAAGGTGGACTCAGCCTTCCATCCTTCCGAGGTCAGTGAAATGAGGACTCAGATTGTTGGGGGCAATATGCTTACTCTGTGAACTGCTTAGAGAGGGCTATATAGCACTGTGAAGCGGTATATAAGTCTAAGTGCTATTATTGCTATTATTTCTACCCCCTTGCTCTGCCTGTTCTTCTTTTACATCACCCATTTTTTACGGTGGCACATAACAAAATGCTGTGCTTAATCTGAAAAGAGTTGTCCATCTCTGCTTCAAACACATTAACAACTAACTGTGTTCTGATATGCTAAAGATCCCTGTTATAGTTCAGAGAGCTGATTAACAAGGATGAACAGAAACCAGACCATCCTGTGGGTAACTTTCCTGCTGATTCTGCAAAGTGTTGCAGATGACAAGGATAATAAAACTCAGAAATCACTAGCCTTAAACCTCCAAAGGAAAAACCCTGTGTGATTTGAGAGGAGGGGGAAAGGAAGAAAGAAAGGAGAGAAATTTGCCACCTCAAGCATAGTAAATTAGAGTTGGAACATGTTTTACATGCATCCCCAAGGAGGAACTTGTATAAGGAATCTGTGAAAAAAAAAATCAATTACATTCAGTTTAAAGGGACGCTTTCCAAGTGGTCAGCAAAGAAAACTTTTGGGATGCAGCACATCTGACTGCTCTCCCCATATTTCCTCCACCTTCAATTACTTTGCACACATGAAAGCTGCCAGAATGATCTTTCCCTTACGGTTTTCAAAGTCAGGAAATGAGCATTGGGCTGTCATGAATTGTCAGAGGTAGAACTAGATAATAAGCATTGGTAATTCAATAGCTGATAGATGGGAGCAGGGAGGGAAAGTCAAAGAACTGTATATGGGAAAATAGAACACGTACATAATTTTCTTTGGGACCAATTAATGTTATTCCAGTTTGCATATTCTTAATCATAAATATATTTCAATTTAAGTCACAGGCCAAAGCGGGGGGGCATCTTTTATAATGAAAATCAACAAGTCACCATGTCGATAATGGTGGGCTTCTCGATATTTTCTGCTGGAATTTATAAATAAAAAGACAATCTAAATGAAATTACAGTAACCAATGGGAGCTGGTCACTGAAGAAACAAAGGAGGCCCAGCCGAACATAAATATTTTAGCATAGGATTCCAGAGACTTATTTTGTGAGCTAGATTAGAGAGGTTTCTTCTATGTGGCGGCAGAAAGAAAGACAGAAGGAAGAGTCCTTCCTTTCTCTTGTTTGCATTGTTAACTAGTGATTTTATTAAAAAAAAAAATCACAGGACAAATTATAGTATAGTGTTCAGTTGCAGTAAAGACAGTCAGCCACAATATCCCACACAACCACTGTAGGAACGCTTGAGGCTACATTAGGTGGCATGCACTACATTGACTCTGAAGTTCAAACGGCATCCTGTTTTGTATGCAAGAGATCACAGATTCAACCTATGGAGTTCAGAGGCATCTGCAGGATTCCTTCTCCTTATCAAAAATGATAAGAGCAGCACTGCATCGTCATACTACAAACTCTGACTTTTTCACAGATGTGATGCACATACAAAAAAAGGAGTAAAGCTTACAATGCGACACCACAAGGCTGCTTTTCTCTTAATTCCACACACTCTCCCCGAATAACAAAAGACACACACCTCTGGCAAAATTAGTTAAGTACAAAGTTAAGATCATCGGAAAGCAGAACAAACAACAAGAAAAAAGATTGGCTAAGAAAACACAGATACAATCCCCATTTCCCCTGGCATCGGCAGTTTATATAAAAGTCCTTTTCACATCGTATCTGAAAGGACACATAACTGGTAACCATCTCACAAATTCATCAAATCATTTATCTCCAACTTTGTTCCTTTAATTGCCACAGTCATGGGCATGCTAATTTAAATGAGCATACCTCAAAACATTCATGCCTTGACTTTCTCCCATATCAAATATACACGTCATCGCAATTATTGGTTCAGTGTATTTTTTGTAACATTGAAGAAATCTTATAAATCTGAATTGTGGCTTCTCTCTTTACATAGTCAGTCTTTGTAAGAGCAATCTATATAGGCAAATTAATTCCCATCTCCAAAGTCTTAGTGTGAGTTCCTTGACTGACAGCATGGTTGACAGCTTATAATTTCCTTCTATTGCCAAGAATTTGCCAACATTAGTCATCCTCTTTCCATATGGTGGTGGCCAGTTTTAATTATCAGAGCATCTTAAGATGAAAATTTAAAAGTAAAAACAAGCAAAAACCCTTCAAAGGCTCCAAACACCCCACAGAACAATGTTTAAAAGGGCAATAAAATATTGATACTGTAAAATGATTCAAAGGAGAAAGAAAAGACATGATGTAATTTCAGTGGTTGAAGAGGGGAGAAATAAAAGAAAGTGGAGTGGAGTTTCTCCAGGGAGGAGGAGGAATGCCTTTAACAGCCTATATGGCTTTACAGAAACATTCCTTTCACTTGCCAGGTGCTCCTGGAGAAAAGAAAACATTTTTTATCCCACTCTGAGCTGCTTTAATCATACTCTTGCATGTCAAATAAGACTCTGCACTTTAAAGCCACAGAGGAAGAAAGCTGAAACAGAATTGCCACAGGGAAGAGGAAATTTCAAATTAAATAGTGGGGAAAGAGGGTAAAATTAGGGTCCATCTTTATTTCTTAACTGATGCTACAATATTTTATCAAATCTAGACAGACTATGGTTCGCAACTGTCAATATAAAATAGCATGAATTCAAAGGATTTAATGGAGCATTTATTAGGAGTTAGCTTTTCATTTCCACAGGGATGCAGTACTTCAGATGCATTTGCCATTCAACATAACTTTAAATATACTTAAGATATATGGTGTATTTATGCCTAAAGCCAAAGAAATAAAGTACTGTTGATGCTGGCTCTCAGGAGAAATCTTTAAAAATGAAAATGCAATAAATCTGGGCTTCGTTTGCAGAAAAATGGAGGTACATCACCAGATACGTTGATGTTCTATTCATTATCTGTATCAATAAGGTTAGTTAAAAAAATAAACAAGTGGTTGGGGTTAACAACACAGTGTATAGAAGTGCTGTCTCCAAGAATACTATTTTATATCAACACTAAGGACCTAACCAACGTTCATAACTTTTTCAAATATTTGCTAAACTCTCACTGCAATCATAAAGCAGCCATATGTTGGGAACATTAGCTGAGCGAATAATAACTGAATGTGAATAAACAAGACTATTACTTCAAAGGTCAATAGCAGTCAGAAACTGATACACAAAGCCAAACAAAAATCCAATATATCCCATATTGACTTGAACTCAAGTGTTATATAGCAAAGACAAGAACGTTACATTTTTTAAACAATCTATCTAATACTTCCTTAAGTTTGGAGTACATTTAATATACTTTTTACAGCACAGAAATAAGGGCGCTGCCGTGTTTAAATTAAATATTGAATCTGGCCATCCTAAAAGAGTCTGATGCTACCATTTATGCTTACGACTATAATCCTATACATACACAATATATAAAAGGTAAGGGAGTCCCTGCAGATTTTAGTCCGCTAATTGTTGCTGACCGTAGGGGGCAGTGTTCATCACCGTTTCAAGGCCATTGTCCAAAGATATTTCCGCAGTCATATGGCCAGCATGACATAACAGAGCACTTTTACCTTCCCACCAAAGTGGTACCTATTTATCTTGCATGTTTTTGAACTGCTAGGTTGGTAGGAGCTGGAGCAAGGATGGGAGCTCACCCCATCACATGGCACCCAGTTGTCGAACCTGGGCTGCCAACTTTTCAGCCAACAAGCCCAGTATCTGAACCACTGAGCCACGACGCCACCCTTTGAGTATGCAGTATATATTCTAAGGTAAATCCATTGAATACAGTGGACAAGTTGGATTTCTTACCTGCAACAAATGACAGCCTTGCAGGACAATGCTAGGTCCAAGAAGGATTTCCTTACTTCAAAGGAAAGGGCGTACTTTAGCGTCTGGCCATCTACAATCAAGGCAATATCATTTTCTTTGCCCAGTGAGTCTCCCAGATTTTCACAGTGCTGCGTTAATGCAGCTCTTGTTGCCTAAATGAAAAAAAGAGGACAGGGGAGGAGAAAACAAAATTTTGTTACCATTTTTGTTAAGGAGAACAACCCAAACCGGGAAGAATTTATTCAAGGAGGAATTTGGATATATTCCACATTTGTTATTGCATGCACATTACAAAAAAATGAAAATGCATGAAAAAGAAGGCGATATGGCTTTTAGATTACAGACATAGTCTACTCCAGTGATGGCTAACCTTTTCGGCACTGAGGGCCCAAAGTGCAGGCATGCGTGTGCAGCCCCAAAATGCAATACGCACACGTCCCCTATGCATGCATCCTGCCCCCCCATATTTGTGTGTGTCCCCTGCAGATGCGCCTCAGCAAGGACCCAAAGACTAGCTAGCCAGTGGGAGGCGCATGCGCGCACGCATGGCAGAGCTAAGCTGGGGCATCGGCTCGCGTCCCCACAGTGAGGGCTGTGCATGTCACCTCTGGCATGCGTGCCATAGGTTCACCGTCTATTCTGATGTAAATCTTTCGAATTTCCCCAGTTATTGGATTTGTCATTAGCTGCTGGTAGGTGGCATTGGTAGAACTTGTGATATTTTGCTCCAGTCCAGAACGCACTGTGTGAGTTATTCATGTCCACATTAGGAGAGAGTTTGGACATGCAAGTTAATGCAACCTTCCACATAAAGAGCTAACAGAATGAACACGCAGCTCTCTCTCCTAAAGCTGTAAAATGCAGAAGTTTATACCCTAAATTACATAAACTAAACTGGGGTGTGTATTTTATGTTGATTTACTTCACTACAGGACTTTAGTTTGAGCTGCTTCTCATTAAGATGATAACTTTTTAAAGTTTAATTTTGCTACTAGCCTTAATCTGTTTAAATTAATATAAATCCAGTACTGGCTTCTGAAATGTTTCAATTTCTGTTTTTAACATTGGCTATATTTTATTACCATTATATTTGGGGGTGGTTTTTTGGGGCGGTGGTGGTAGTAAGTTGCCTTCTTTTCCTTGGCCAAAAAACTATAAAACATAAAATCTGCCAGTTTCTGAATTGAGCTGATGTAGCACGAAATAAAAAATGCTAGCCCGTTAGCCATATACTTCCAGACTATTCTCTTCTATTTCCAATCCCAGCATACTGGGTCCTTTCCAGCTTCAACACAATGAGTATAAAAAATTTAGTGACTATTCACCCCTTATAAAACTACAAATAATTATCTGTCCTTCCCATATCCCATCTCTTATCTACAAACAAATCCATAAAACTTCATTTTTTCAATTCTGGTGTCCACAAAAAGTCCATAAAGGATTGCCAGAAGTAACAATGTATCTTGTTTTAACCTTGATCAAATAAAAGTAAAAGAAAGAAATATAAAGTTGTTTTAACAGTCTTAATCTTTAGTTCATTCAAATATTGTCATAGGATTTGATTTCTCTTCATTCCTTCTTTGTTCCATCATACAGAATTCTCCAAGATTTCTACAAGCCTTCTTTAAATTAACCCAAAGGAAAAAAAATGTCCAGGTTGTTCTTTTGAGTTATCATTTGTATTTTCCTTTTGTATTTTAAAATATCAGCAAGTTTATTTTATAGATCCAGTGAAACATCCTTTTTCAAGTCATTCTCTTGGCTTGTTAGCTGTAAATGCACTTTTGATACTATTTTTATATTGTCAATAAAATGTGTTCTACATCTGTTATTTCTTCAGCAACAGATTTTGGACATAGTCTATCCACAGAAGCAGATATTTTTTACTAACATTGTTGATGTTGTGCTACTAATTTCTGATTCCATTCTTCAAAAGTCTATTTCAGTATTTTTATTGCTATAATGCTTTGCCTCAGTTTGCAGACTTGTATTTTTTCCTCTACCTAAAATCTTTAGTTCCTTCTAGTATCTAATTTTTAAAATCATGAAATTATTTATCTGGGTTATGTCAACCACTAATTTAAAGAAGGCTGGAGAATTCTAATTAATTAAAATCTTCCAATGTGAAATGCTTTAGAGCAGTGGTGGCTAACTTTTTTTGGCTCTCGTGCTGATAATTGCACCCATGCTCACTTGTGCGCTCTTGTGTGCCAACACCCAGAAAGCAATGCATGCTGGGGGGCCCCCACGACCCCTGCGCATGCACGCACGATCCCCCTCGCATGCCATATGTCTGTGCATGCATGTGCGACTCCCTCCTTGTGCTCCGCACATCTGCGCATGCACACGAGATTCCCCCTTGCGTGCGTAGTCTGCGCATGCATGCATGATTCCCCCCTCATGCACCACACATCTTTGCGCATGCAACTCCCTGCTCACATGCTGCCTGTCTGTGCATGTGTGCACGTTTCCCCCTCATGCGCAGCGTGCATGATCCCCTCATGCACAGTGCACCCCTGCACATGCGCATGCATCTCCCATGCACCCCCCTCTGCCCCTATGCATGCATGCCAGATACCCGACAATCAGCTGTCGGGTGGCAGCGTGCGCATGTGTAGTGGGGCTCTTTCAGGCGACCTCTTGCGTCCGGGGAAAATGGCTCTGCGTGCCACTTCCGGCATGCATGGCATAGGTTTACCAGCACAACTTTAGAGGGATGAACCATCTTGTTACCTTCATATTCCATATTTGCCATCAGAGGACCTCTTACTAATACCTTATTTTGTTTAGTGTTGGCAACTAGATAAGGACATCCGGTTATGACCTTGCAGATGTGAGCGGTATAAGCCTCTAGCGAACAAAGGAAAGCATACTTCCCATAGAAGAGAAACCCAGAACATTTATACCACCATCCTAAATGTGTTCTTTTCTACTTCTGATTATCAAATAAGAAGTTCTGGGCTTCCCCTCTGTGGGAAGTATCCAAATGGAGCCAAGGATTGTTTTCTACTTAGAGGTTTAAGTTTGTGGCAGGTCTGACACAAAGTTGGAGAATAAATTGTTTAAAAGTGACCTGGATCCAATCCAATATCTGTAATTAGTATCTCTGAATTAATGTAACCTTAACTAAAGATCTTTAAATCTATGCTTAATATTCATAAACAAATCAATTCTAACTTTTCCCTAGATGGGCAGATACTAAAGCTGAAGCTCAAATACTTTGGCTATCAAATGAGTCGACAGGAGACAGTGGAAAAAATCCTGATGTTAGGAAAGATTGATGGCAAAAAGAGAAGAGGACCAAAGAGAATGAGATGGTTAAATAGTGTCATTGATGCAATGAATGTGAATTTGAGCAAAGTCTGGGGGGCCCTGCCATACTATGTTCCATGGGGCCACAAAGAGCCAGGCACGACTTAGCAACTGAATAACATATCAGAGTTTAGATTATTTCCTTTTATAATGCTCTAAATCAGGGGTGTCCAACCTTGGCAACTTTAAGACTTGTGGAATTCTGGGAGTTGAAGTCCACAAGTCTTAAAGTTGCCAAGGTTGGACACCCCTGCTCTAAATTGTAGATATAGCTGCAGAAAATTAGAGTGGGTGGAATTATATTGGTCACAAATAAAAGTAATATATTATGCATGACTGTAATCTTTTGCATGTTTTTGATGTAGTTTCATCCTTTGGTGAACGTATACCGGTTAACTTAAATATTGAACATATCATTGCTTTCGAGACCAGTCTATTCATATGGCTGTTGTGGGGGAAAATGAAAGCTGAAAACCTTCATTTTTAAAATAATGGGGGGAAACCAGGCTAGAAACTTAACAAATACATAAAGATCAATTTCCATCACTTTGAGAGGTAAACGCTAAGAATGAACATATATAAAACTCACATAGCATTATTCCTAGCTGCAAAATTAAATTCTCCAGAATAACTCTGTTTTAGAAAGCATTTTGTTCTAAAGAATTCTGGGAAATTTAAACCAGCAGCTGAAATGTGAATGACTTTTCCCTAAGTCGTGAAAATTACTCCATCTCAAAACCACAAAAGAAAGGCTGTTTCACTCCCATCCAAATTCAACACAGACTAAACATTTTGCTAAAGTTCAATAAAGCTGGAATTTGAAGCATTTAAAGAATGGACAGAATATTCCATCCATAGAATTAGTAATCATAATATCCAGCATGACTGAATAATCCTATAAATACAAAACTTTTTGTAGGGAAAAATGAGAATGATCTAATTAGAAAGATCTAATTTAATTTCAACAATGCAAGAAAAACAATGAATGAATCGACATTTCTCCTATTCTTTATGAAATTTAATTTAAAAAACTATTTTTGATGTTAACTGACAATATCCTGCATAATTATTAGTGGACTTCTAACAAAGCAGTATCTGAAATATATTTTCTAAAACACAAGTTATTTAACATGTTTCCAACATGTTTAACATTATTCTACAACGCTTCTAGGATCCAGCTGTGCTAATCACAGCATTTTTGTCCAGTGGGCTACCCGATGCCCTTGAAAATGTTTCCTTAAATAAAGAAAAAAAAAGTTGAAAATGTTTTTCATTTACTTTAGGCACAACATAACCTAAACCTGTTTTTCTCAATTAATCTAATTTTCCGAGTTAACATGACACACTAAATTATATACTAAGCAGACATACCAGGTGGGTAGGTGAGTACAGCTTAGCTTTCAGACCTGCTAATGGGTCATAAGTGGCCATCTGCTGAGGAGAGCAGAAAGGATAAGGATGGGGAAAAAAAACATCCGCTTATTTTGTTTTTCAGTTCGGGGGGGAAAAGGAGTCCAACAGTGGGAACTGGAGCATGTCTTCTATTATTTTTGAAGCAAAAAATGCACACCAAATTTTAACTACAGCTAATTCTTGATTTACAATCTACAATTGGATCAGAACTTCTGCTGCTAATCAAGGCAGTTAAATGGACCGTGCCCATTTTATGATGGGGTTTGCTGAGTGAATCACCAGTCATTATGCCAATCCAGCTTTCTCTGTTGACTTTGCTTGGGAAGTTCGCAAGCGGTGATCGTGTGATCCCTGGATTCTGCAACCCTTGTGAATGGGTTACCAAGTACCCAGATTGTGATCACATGATTGAAGGATGTTGCGACAG